GGTGTGGAAAAACTAAGTCGAAGTAGGAGGCTACAGTGACGGACTGGGTCGGAATAGGACGCTGCCGTGGTGCGTGCACTGTTCCTCCGCCGGAAATTTTACCGGTTTTGGTTACTAAAAACGGAGGAAATGATGATCTTGGCTCGTCCTGTTGTACGTTGTCTCTTCTTGAAAAAAGGAGCGCCTGCTTTGGCTCGTCCTGTTGTACGTTGTCTCTTCTTGAAAAAAGGAGCGCCTGGCTGATGATGACTCCCTGGCCTGGATTCTTGAACCGTGCGTAGGCTCTTTAGGTTCTTCTGTCCTCTCTTCCTTCGATTGTCGCGGCGGGGTACAGTGAACGATCTTACCTCGCGTTCTCTTTGAGTTAATTTGTCTTGTTCTGACGTTCCTCTGCTTCAGTATACGACGCCTGCCTCCTTTATTCCCCTTGGTTCCTGTCTTCGGTCCTGCGGTCCCCTCCTCTGTTACGTTCCTCCGTCTCGTTTGCCTCTTCTTTGCGTGGTAGGGTCTGTCTTTTCTTCTCGCCTTTGGACTTCCTCTCCTTCCCACCTTTCGTCTCTTCCCTCTTTGTTCTCACCGACCCTCTGCTTCTTCCTCCGCTCTTTAGCTTCGTTTGTTAGGAGCGTGGTGCCACGCCCTCGGGCGTGGCGAAGTATGCCACGTGGATACTAGTTACTCGCCCCTGATGTGTTTTGCCATTCGAATCAGATTCACCTCCTGTCCCTTCCTGATCTTCAAAGAAACTCGCTTTATTCACCCCTTGACCTTGTTTTCGACTTCCTCTTTCTTCTCCTTCCTTCCCTCTTTCTCTCTTTCTTTCCCTCTCTTGCTCGCTTGTAATTGTTTGTCCCGATACGAGATCGAGTCGGCCACGCCCGCGTGACGTGGCTTCACGAGTTTCTCCCTCGCATCCCTCACTCCCTCACGTTTGATTCGAATTGGGATGAAAGCGCGCGACTCTGCGCACGCGGCGAATTCTCGCCTGGCTTGCTGCGGGCGCGAAAGTTCGCGGTGCTTCTGGCCCAGGGCAAGGCGGATCGGTCCAGCGCTCACCGGACGGCGCTAGCGCGGCCTTCTTTGCTCTCAAGGACAACAACCAAGGCAGGCTTCTTCCCCTTTCCAGCCCAAAGAAGAAACCCCTGAACATCATCAATGTACTCCTCCATAGGAGCACTGCCTGCCACACTCCCGTCTTCCCCGAAACACACCTCACACCCTCATCATTACTGTAACAGGCCAGAAATATAGCTTCTACACATCTGTGATTGAGGTGCTTTGTGTTCGGGGGAAGCACATTGGCCTCTTTTTCCTTCGTAGATTCCCCTGAGCATATATACGTATACAATATACAAGCACGGCCACATAGACTTACTAGTGCTGCCAACCCCTCTAAAGAGTCTAAACTCTTTGATGGCTAGAGCCTTCGGCCCTAAACCGCTTGGCCTTTCGGGTGATAGCCCAGTCAACTCCTCTCCATTGCACCCTAGAGCAGCTGTTTCAGCATTCTCTGACATCTCAACACATTTGACAAAAGCCCAAACAAATTGGGGAGGGGGTTGTTTGAAGGGGGGAGGGAAAAATAAGGGTTCTTTCAAGTTCTGTGAAGGAAAAAAAAAAAAACCAAAGAGTGGGTTGTGATCCTCCTGGGGTTGCTCTGGACGCCTGCGTTTCACTTCTGAGTTATGGGCCTCGCTCCACTACTCTCGACAAGCACAAGAGACAAAAATTGTGGCGGTGTATCGTACTATCGTTCCATGTTGTAGCGGAAGATTCACTCCCGTTTTGCACATTTCGAGAGTAGTGCAGCGAGGCCCTATCCCTCAGTGTCCTGCCATCTTAGTTGGAGTTCATCGAGGGTCTGAAAGAGGAGGCTATCAGCCCCCTGCCACCTTGCCATTAGCAGGCCAAGTGCATAGGAGCTTTTGGGGGAAAAAAAAAAAAAAAAAAAAAAAAAGAAAGTAGGAAAAAAAGAAAGAAGTTTCAACTTTAAAGTTTAAAGTTTAAACAGGCTATCGTGGATCAAAGATGGAGTTTGGAAAGTGAGCCATCTTTGAAACGAGGAGAAAAAGGACTGGGTGACCAAGCAGGAACTTGCCTCCCAAAAAAAAAAAAAAAAAAAAAAAAAAAAGGAACTTGCCTCCCAGAAGCTCAAAGGATGTGACCGACGAGACGAGAATCTACAATCCATTATCAACAGCATCCCAGAAGGCTGGAAGGAGTTTTTGAGCGAAGCGTCAACCTGGAAATCGGGTGAATGGGGGAGTGACGGTGCAGGATTTAACCCCCTCAAGGCTCAAGGGCCTATCAATATCCCATAAACAGCAAGGGTCCGATACCCTGGCGGTGTTTACCTCTTTCCCAATTACCCCTTCCATAAACAGCAAGGGTCTGGAAGTTTCTTTTACGTTCGATGTTTTTTCCCCACGACTCCCGACCGGCATGTCCAATGGCCTCTCGTTACACACACTCGCAGCAGCAGCAAAAAAACTGCCAATGACTCAAGTCCCCTACCGCCCATGCAGCAGCGTGCACATTTTTCGTACCTTATTTTCTTAACCTCATTCGGGTCCTTCCAGTAGTTGGGGACGACAGCCACTCTGAGAGCCATCGACTGCGGTGTAATCTGGTTGTTGGACAAGGACGAGGATTGGAGGGAGGATGATTCGACGGAGGATTGCAACTTGTACTTGAGTGACAAGATAGAGTCAAAGAAGCTCCACTCCAACGCACGGTCAACACAACGGAGGGCATCGGCCAGCCTTCCAATCCTCTCAAGTGCAAGGGCCAGTCTGCAACAGCTCCAAATGCATCATCAGTTATGAACATAGCCTTCATTTCTCAAGGCACATTACTTAACTGTAAGTCTCTGCTGCAATTATAAACAGCCATCATCCAAGATGAAGAGAATCAAGCACACAGTTTGAGAGAGACGTGCGGATATCTTCTCCCTTTTTTTTCCCCTTTGTTTTAAATACTAAGGGAGGGGGGGAGGAGATATACTTCTACTTCTTCTTCTTCTTCTTTTTCTTTGCCATTCCTCCTCCTGTTTCTTCTTCCTCTTCTTCGTCTTCATCTTTGTCTTCGTCGTCATCGTCTCCTTTGTTCTTCGTCCTGTTTTTTCTTGCTCGGGGGACTGCTTTTGAATAAGCTTCTATCTTACAGGTGAGTGAGGTCATGCTTACTCGCAGATTTATGCCCTCTATGCGTTCGCTCTGAAATTCTCCCCCACACAGATTCAAGATGGCTATTTATATGTCCTCGACATATGAAGAGGCTGGGTTACTTATTTGAAGTCATTTCCCTCTTTCCTTACGTAACCTGCCATCTTTTCTTACTACCGTCTTCATCCGAATAGAACGCCCGGTCCTTGTAGCTGTATTTGAGGTAACTTTTGGTCTAGACATGGCGATAATCACCGGGCGCTCTATTCGGGTGAAGACGGTAGTTCAGAATTATTTTAAAGGGCAACAGCCTTGAGATATCATCTTTGAACTGACTGGCCCTGCCCCAGGTAATTCAGAATTATTTTACTTGGTTCACCTGATTGCAATTGGATTCGAACGTGGGTCTGTATTTCAACAGTTTGTGGGCGTACCAACTGAAGCCGGTAGTTTCTACGATGAATATACCTCCCTTTTTTCCTCACTTTACCTCCCATTTTTCCTCACTTTACCTCCCATCTTTCCTTACAACATAGCAGAAACTAGTGAGGAGAGGTGACATAGTCGCACACCATCAAGTGAGGGGTCGATGCCATCATCCTTAACCCACCAGTCCACGCGAGGCTAAGTTGACGAAACTACCTTCCAAGGCTCGCAAGCCTACAACTGTGCCTTTCCAAAGTGGCCCGCCGCGTTCACTACCGGCCCAGGCCCGAATCGAAAAACTCTTACCGACTGAACCCGTAAGAACCCTCCTACTCTGCTTCGGGTGTAAGTGGCGGCTTAAGACATCATAAGTATTAATAACTGAATGACAAGGAAAAAAGTGCTCTCCTCTTTGCAATGACAATGAAGATTCTGTGAATTGCTGGTGGTTGTGACTTCTTAGCGACATGAGACAATTTATTATTATTATTATTATTTTATTATTATCTTTTAAATTTTAATGGATTTTTACCTTTGCCAAGTTAGCCTATGATTTTCAGTGACTGTTTAAGTTTTATCATTTTTTAAAGATATTAAGTTGTAATTTAATATTTATTAGTTTTTAACATGGCTACACCGGACTGAGCACCGCACAGATCCAGACACCGGATGCCGGACCTCCCAGCTGTATCTGGACGACCGGAAAACCGGAATATTCCGGAAAATCCGAACATGTCTGGATGCCCTGTCCGGATGTCTGAATCTTCCAGGAGGGAAAAAAACGAAACCTAGAGGGCCTTTTAGCCTGGAGTGTTACGATCCTGGCCAATTTCAAAGTATACATACATCAGAAAGAACAATGCCGTCCAATTGCAAAAAGAAATGGAGAGAGGGAAAGAAGAAGAAGAAGAAGTAAGAAAGAAGAAGAAGATGATGTACTCCAGCATAGACCAATGACAAGGCTCTTCTTCTTCGCCAACCAATCTCCTCCTCCTTATCTCCTCCCCTCTTATTCAAACAATAAATAACAATAATAATGTTGAATGGCTGAACCAGAATCAATGTCCGAATCCCACTTCTACTGCAGGCACAACATGAGGTTCACCATAGCCATGTCCACCTTTCCTCTTCCTCTACATGCAGGCCAAGGCTATGGCGGAGCACTGAGGGCTCTACCCTCCTGTCCAAAGGACAACCCAAAGCAGCTATGTCGCTGCCTCCCTGTGCAAAGGACAACGCAAAGCAGCTATGCCGCTGCTCACTAGGCCGCCATGCCTGTCTCTGCCCCGAGCTTCCTTGGTGCGGCACTACCCCAACGGGGGCCTTCCAGATGCAGCGCCTAACAAGGTGATGAAGATGGTGTCCACCATAGCCAGGTAAGTACCTCGCCACTCTCCTCCTTGGCCCCCTTCTCCCTCCTTCTCCTACCGGTAGAGCTCCACCATAGCCAAGGTGGAAGCTCCCGGCTTCTTCCTCCCAGCAGCGCTGTAGTACCCAGCGCTACTCCAGCCAGCGCTCCAGCAGCGTGTCGCCAAACTTGCACACTGAAGAATGAGGCCGAGCTCTTGCCTCGGCCTCTTGATATAGCGGCCTGCTTGCCTCCTGGGCGGCGACTTCCAGGCCGCTAGGCCTCCCAAGCAACCGGTACCTCCTCCCTTTCACAGGGAAACATCATTGCAGACTCTGATATTGCCCGTACAGGCCCTAGACTCAGACTGGATGGACTGGTACCGGCCTAGACCCAGCCTACCGCTACTGGGCCTCTAAAAATGCCAACTTTGTCTTCTTCTGCTCGGCCTCGAGTACCCGGCACATCTACTGCTACTGGGTGCGGTACTGGCCTACCTGCTACTTGAGTGTTTTTCCGCTGCTCTAAGTGCCGCGGGCCTCTAGCTCCGCCACTTGAGTGTTTTCCCCTGCTGCAACCCTCAATGCCACGGCCACAGGTAAGTACCGGCCCTACAGGCCTGCCAAACAAGCAAGTACCCTTGCGGGTCACACACACACTCATGCCGACAAGCACTCAGCCAGGCACGCAAGTCAACAGGCACGCACACATACAGACTTAGAAAACACAGCAGAATGCGGGAATCTCAGCAAGGCATCCATTCCATCGACAGAACTTCAGAAATCAGCAGTGTTCTCAGTCTGTGTTATTGCGGGTCATTACAGCAGGAAAAAGTTGTGGAGGACGAGGAAGAGGAGGGGAAAGAACACACAGAGGAGGAGGAGGAGGAAGAAAACACGGAGTAGGAGGAAGAACACGCGAAGGAGGAAGAGGAAGACCTGGAGGCCCAAATCCTGGTCCTGAGTCCTGGCCTGAAATGGCCTGCCTGGGTGCCAACCGGACGTCCAGGCTCCTCTGCTGAACCAGCAGGGGTGTCCTCACAAGAGGACGAAACAGGGTGCTGGACAAAAACGTGGTTCAGCCCTAAACGAAGTGGGCCAGGCCTGAGAATTGGCCGTTGGGCCTGAAAACGGCCCCCTGGTCCAGAGGACTACCGGTCCGGACAAAGCTGCTGAAAGGACACGTCCAGGCTGGACAAACCCGGAACAGAAAAATGGACTGAGAAAAGGGAAAAGACTGAGAATGACAACAAAAAGAACTCAGAAGAGTCAGAACTACACAAGAGAACCCCCCCAAATTCACATCCCAGGCCCTCTGCAGACATTGTCGGGGCCGCCCGGGAGCCGTACCGGACGAAGTCCAGGCCGCCGAGCGGTCCGGATTTTAACACAATTTTTTTTGTACTATTGAAAGCATTTCACACATCTCAGATTCCTCACCCTACTGTCTTCCCCCGAACATAACGCACCCTAAAAATGAATGTATACGAGTTATATTTCCGGCCACATACAGCCAAAATGAGGGTGCGTTGTGTTCGGGGGAAGACGGTAGTTCCTCCAAATCCCAGTGTCCCACGTATCAGAGTTCCAACTGGTAGGTGTCATAGTCCCCGTCCTTACATCACTTAGTGGGCCAGTGGGTTAGAAAGTCTAGTAGGCCTAGTTTGTTACCGGTCTATAGGCAGTCAGTCTGTCAGTCAAATGCAACTCAGTCAGAGGAAAGTCCGTGAAAACTTCGGATGCATCCAGGTGGCAAAGCCCACCGGTCCAGAAGGATCCAACCTTGGCACCTGCAGCACGTATGAAAGGCCGGCAGCAGGAGAATGTCGACACAATGTAACATCTGTGCCTGTCATGGAACTCCTGTTTGCGATGAAAGCTATGCTTGGCTTGGTAAGGAATATGTAGTCCCAGATCTTCAAGATGAAGCGATGACCTACCATTTTCGCTTTTTCCTGGGCCTTTTGCACTAGTAGTACGGTAGTACCCACTCCGAAAGGAAAGTAGAGCCGAGCGTGAAGTTGTTGTGCGTCACATAGCAGCACTATCCACAGAAAGCTAGACAGACGGCCACCCTTCGTCGAGAGGGTAAACTTCCCACCTGCTTTGAACAGAAGACCGGAGGGTTGTGATCGTGAAAGAAGATTATCAAGAATTTAGAGCCACCAAGGGACCATGTATTCGTTCGCCATTTTAGACGGTGGCAAGGGATACCTTCTTCCCCCGAATACAACGTACGGTCATTATAGCTGTATTAAGGGTATCTTTCAGTCTATATACAGCTGTAATGACCGTACGTTGTATTCGGGGGAAGAAGGTAGTCAGTGCCCTATGATGAGATTGGGATGGATTGCGATAGCAGGTACCCGGGAGGGGAGTACACCGATGTAGCGGCCCGTAAGGGGGGGGGGGGCACAAAGATTCGGTGGAGGAGGAAGATTCCTAGTATTCCTACCACTGAACAGGACTGCTGGATGGCAGTACCGACCACACAACAAAGGGGTGAATGGCAGTGTCCATCCACCACAATAGGGAGGTGGAAACAGCTTTCCACCTCGTGGCCCAAGAAGATACCCGCCGCACCCATGGATTGATGGAGCAGGGAGAACCCTGGAAGCACATGAGAAAAAGAAGACAAAAACCTAGACATATTTCATTAGCTTTATCAACTTTTATGAATCCTCCGCTCGTCATCTATATTCAGAATTTTAGATTCATTTATTGTTATGTCATGTGAAGAAGTGGAGACGAAAAGACTGACCTGTAATGTCCTTGCCACTGAAGCCGATTCCTCTGCGGGTCGGTCAATTTGATGGCCATTTCGAAATCCTCTATGGAAGAAAGAACATTCCCTTTTCCAAACTTGTGAATCCCCCTCCAAAAGTAGGGAGAAGGGTGAGAAGGATAAGTGAAGATTTTGTCATCCAGTCTAGCCAACGTTTCTTCTCGAACTTCCATGATCTTCTCATGTGAAAACAAAAGCTGCTGCGGCTCAAAGATATCTGGGTGGTTCGTTTGAATCTGCAGAAAGCCACAGATTAAGTATCACATAGTACACATAAGCTCTTTTTTTTTTTTCTTTTTTTTTTTTTGAAGTACACATAAGCTCAAAAAGTAAGCATCGGGTCCAACAGAGCTATGCATTATATACCTGTGCTGTTTCCAGACTAAGCCTATTACTATGGACCACGGACAATGAACTATTTAGTATGTACTAGGTAGGACCACGCACTATGCTATGTACTATGTAGGACTACATATACTATGGACCATGTACAATGGACTATGTAATAGGTAGGACCATGCACTATGTACTATGTAGGACTACGTACTATGTGCTATGTAGACCGACTTAGTATCTTACCCAATTGTAAGCCCTTGCCTGGGTTTCCAGCAATCAAATCCACATCATTTTGCATTTCCTTCCTCCCCTAGGCTTATTCTTGAACACAAGCCTGCATAGCCCTGCATAGTACATACTACATACTACATAGTCCTACAAGGACCTAGATAGTATTTCCAGTTTGCCTCTTTGTCTGACTGGTCTCAACAAGTTTGCCTTCCCTTCCTCCCATAGGCTTGAATCACAGAGGATTTCCAAGGAAGGACTATGCCTGGGACACATGCACAATGCCTGTAGAAAACTAGTGCTCCTTGTGCCTGCATTTTTTAGGGTGATAGCATCTTGTGGAATGGAGAGAATGGCACGACCGTAGTGGATGGCTCGTTGATGGCCCCCTCCTCCGTATTTGCGGAAGGCAAACCGTAGTCCATGGCTCGTTGATGCCCCCCTCCTCCTTCATATTTGCGGATGGCATCACATGCTGGAAACTGTGTCCAGCATACAGGTTGTGCCGGTCCTTTTTGCATGCTTGCATCTTGAAGACGAGCTGTTATGGACTCCGCCAGGGCTCGATCCCTGGTCTACGTTTTTGCTGTTTCGGGTGCATCCCATTTTTGGCCTGGCACCCTTTTTCCAAATCCCTCTTTTGGTACCGTAGGATTTTGGACAACTGGCGCCATGCTGCAATTCAGGCGCCACTTTCAAATACCGCATTTTTCAGTTCTGCCCTCGGGGCCTTTGCAGAAATGCCCCTGGTACTGTACGTGTCACCGGTACTTATACCGGCTCCCCGTATGGTACGGGGACCAGTCTCGTACCAGTTTTCAGCTGCTGTAC